TATAAATAAAATTGGTTTAGGTTGTTTTGCTCACCCAGAGAGCACTGGCCTGATCAGCTATAGCTGGTGGTTGAGTGTTGTTCCTACGAGCAACACAATGGCATGGCAGTCTGTTTCGCTATCGCCAAACAACTCGGTCACCAGGTGAGCAAAACTTTAGGGTCATCCGCCCCCTAACTAGAGACCAGCAGGAGGCGGACAAGGCGGGGGTTCAGTTCAAGGGGTTGACATGCTCTCACTCTCGCTTGGTGCCCAAGTTTCGACGTGTTACCCCAGGAATTCCTGGCGAACTGGGCTGGCAGATGTGTAGCGCTCCAAGTTCAGCATCCTCCCTCCAATGAAGATTTGGGAATTAATCTTCCGAGCACTTACAAAGTACAACACACGCCAGCGTACCTGCAAATGAAAATACAAATTCATTTTCACAGTTACAACTCGACAGCCTAGAGTCCATCGATGGAACAGCACTCACGTCCCCAGCGGGCAGAAGTAGTCCCTGAACACCATGAAGCTGGCTGCAACGGCAGGCTGCACGCAGCTGGCAAGCGGTTTGCACGACCTCCCGGGGCACTGGTTGGAGGCGGCGGACATCAGCCTCTGTAGATCCTGTGCAAAAAAGGGGTCGAGTGTTAAAGCCCATTGTAAATGAGTGCTTCGCACGGGAGCTACAAATTACAAAACAACCCCAAGTGTACGTAGACGCCGTAGGGCAGGCCAGCCCGTTCGGCATCCATGTGTTGCGGAGTTGCCTACCCGAGTTTCGCAGGCGCTTCGCAAGGGAGCAACAAAACAAACTGGGTGTCGTGGGGTAGGCCAGCCCGGTCAGCATCCCTGTGTTGCGGAGTTGCCTACCTGAGTTTCGCAGGCGCTTCGCAAGAGAGCAACAAAACAAACCCAGCTGGAGGTGGGTGCCGTGGGGTAGGCCAGCCCGGTCGGCATCCCTGTGTTGCGGAATTGCCTACCCAAGTTAAGCAGGCGCTTCGCACGGTAGATACAATACAAACCCTGGAGGTAGGCGCTGTATGGTGGGGGTGGGCCAGCCCGGTTAGCATCCCTGTGTTACGGAGTTGCCTACCCGAGTTTCACAGGCGCTTCGCACCCACTACTAGCGGGGGTAAACAATCTACACTACTTGCCTGTTTGGGCGGCAGCTCGAGACTGAAGGAGGCGGGGCCGAGCCTAAGGCGGCCGGCTGAGTCCGTGTGCTGGGACAGCCAGGAGATGGCCGTCAGCGGCAGGCTCTCGGTCGCGTTATCTGGGGCCCAACAGTGAGAGCGTGAGTTGCGGGACTTCTTGCAAATATTGGTGCAAAAACTAAAGCATCGTACTCACCGGCCTCCTGGGAGAACAGGAGCGGCTTGAAGTTCATGGGGATGTGTCCGGGTCCGGGGCGAGTGAGCGGCACTGCAACAGGGGGAAGGAGTCGGTGTGAATTGTCGGAGGGATTCGGCGTCACATCCAGTCAGAACCGTGTTTATCACGCCTGGTACTCACTCTCGCTGTACTTGTTGTTGCCCGCGAGGTTCTCCGCGTCCCGCTCCGCACCGCCGTCGGCGGGCAGCGGCCTGAGGGGCGCCTCCCGCACGCTCGCCGAGCCGTTGGCCGCCAACTCCGGCTTCACCACCACGAGGGACGTGACCCGGGTGACAAAACCGTACTGCAGCAGAAAAAGCAGAGGAATCGGTTAATGTGTATCGTGTCCAGGTGATGAGCTTTGGTGCACTCTGAACGTCGTAGCCACTTTGCTTGCCAAAATTGTAGCGGTTTTTTTTAAATGGCAAAATTTGTCTTGAGAGACTGACAATTTTCTTTTTTTTTGGCATCTTTGGATTCCAGATTTTGATCTTTCTAGGGAGAAGGGCCAATTTTAGCGATCCAACGTGGCAGTCTCTAGAAGAATGCCGAAATGTGTCCGTCGAAGAGGGCTGCAGAAATTCTAACAATCGAAAGCGGCCACGGCGTGGAGAGAGTGCTGGCCACGGTGCTCACCTTGAGCGCGAGGTACAGGGCGCGGCGGCGCGGCTGGTCGAGGCCAGGCTCAAGCTTTGGCGCTTCTTCCAGGATGTCATCCTCGTGCTTCATGAGGTCCACGTCGAGGAGCTGCTTGACGCTGAGGTACGCCCACAGTCGCTCCAGGAGGCCGATTGGAGGCTGAAATGCGACGTCAAAATTGTTCTAGGATTACCGATAGATTACTACACATATGCACGCACCACACTAGACTGAGAGAGTTGATAATACTCATGACGCATTTTCCCGAGTGCTAAATACGAGCGTTGCTCTCACCTTGGTGTCGCCCTTCTTCTTGTTGGGGAGAGGCGGCGGCTTGAGGCCCACGATGTCGGCCCTGGCGGCGTGCGCCTGCGCCCGCAGCAGCCGCCGGCCCGGCGCCGCGCCCACGGCGGCGGAGGCGCCCGGCGCCGCGCCCCACACCTCCACCTCGGCCTCCAGCGAGGAGACGCCGTCGGCCACCCTGCCGGCCACGACCAGCTCGCCGCCGCTGTACAGCAGCGGGAAGCTGCGCCTCGTCACCGTGTTGCCGTCCACCTTGGCGGCCACGTAGTTGAAGGTGACATTGGCGAGCAGCGGGCTGGCGATCTCCTGGTAGAAGTCCTGAAGCTGCTGCGCCGCGTCGCCCGCCTCGTAGATCCGCCGCGCGAAGCCGTCGTTCTGCAGGGAGAGCCGCTGCAGGAAGCGCCAGTTGCTGCGCGAGCCGAAGGAGAGGCTGAAGATGGCCGCCTGTGGACACGGAGGACACGGGGCTCAGCTTTTTGCACTCCAAAACAGCCTGGTCTCGAATTTAGTACACTTTTCGCGCACCAAGTTTTTAAGGGCTCTGCGTCATGTTTTGTGAAGAAGCTTGATTGTTTCAAAGTAGAAAACGACTACGTTGTTTTCGATAAAATCAGAAGAAATGTGGCGTAAGCTCTGCAGCGCCCGCACCGCGTGGTGCAGACCCCCTCACCTTGATTTCGACGTTCTGAGCGCGGGTCTGCGCCAGCACCCTGCCCAGCGACAGCGTGCCCACGGTGGGCAGCCCGTCCGTCAGGAAGACGATGAGAGGCTGCGGCCGGTCCGCGGCCCCGGAGCGGTACGTCGGCCAGCGGTCGTAGTCGCGCTTGCCGGCCAGGCGCACGGCAGAGCGTAGCGCGCCGCCGATGTTGGTGCCTGCGGACCCAGAACACCAACGTGAGACTAACAGAAGTTTGCGGCAAGTTTGCGGGTTTAAACGCAAATTTCATTAAGAATTTAAGAAAAGCAAAGAAAGAGTAGTATTCACTTTTTCACAATCCCTAAAATAGGCGTGTAATAATTGTGTACACGATTTCTAAAACGCACCTCCGGACGCCTCCATGTTGTTGATGAACTTTTTGGCCTTGTTGATGTGGTCCTTGTTGGCGGGGAGTGTGGCCTCCTTGTCGCGCAATCCTACCACCTCCAGGGTGTGCGGCGACCATTCCTGCAACGCGCACAGTGGTCAAAATAGGCAACCATAACGATGAGCTATGGTACCTGTTGCCTATTGGCTCCACCCACATCTGTAGAACACCCAGAATAACGTAACTTCGATTTCACGTTAAAATGTGCTTCTGTTGTTACCAATGGAAAAACTGGCCTGCCGGCCGGTAACGAGACAGTCCAGCTCCGAAAGTAAATTCAAAATATACGTACAGGCGAAATAAGGCTTTTAATTCTTTTAATTCAACAAGGCATCAAAATAAGACTGAAAATCTGCCTATCAAAACTGAAACGTTAATCGGCAATATCGGCAACGCCAACCTTTATCAAGACGGGATACTTTCACCTTACCCGCGCTTTTTCATGTTTCAGAAAGCTGTGGTTCAAATCAAAAACAACGAAAATCAGCAAATTATGCTAGAATCACCATTCAAAGTTTGCTGAATTCGTAATTTCTACGTGCGCAAAACAATCACATTTCATATTTCAGAGCGCTGTGGTTCAAATTTAAAATACGAGACTGGGGATTACTTGTCAAGTGGACGGGCCATGTGGCGCCCGGTGCCGATTGAGCTCTAAGAGGGCAGGCGTTGGGGTGCGGGGCGCGCGAGGAGCAGCGCTGCGAGACTCAAGTGGGGGTCGGGTGGCCCACCATGGCCTGGCGCGAAGCAAGGGATAAGGGCGCTATGTTTATAACACAACCAGAGCGATGACAGCGGACTGCTACCGGGCTTGGCATGGAACGGAGGGAAGGACGGAAAGCCTTCCCCCACAGCCTAATATTATAGCAAGACAGATCTTTATGAACGTGAATCGGCTTATCAAAACTGGCACTGGAACGTCAATCGGCAATCTTAATCAAAACTGGATAACGAGAACCGGCAATATTTATCAAAACGGGAAACTTTTACCTTCGGGTAGAGACAGACCACAAGGGACTGTCTAAAAATGGAAATTTTGACTTCTGTGTAAAACTAAAAGTTCCGGTATTTCAAGGGAATTCCCTCGAATTAACTGAATTCAACATGTTTTGACGTAAAATCGTAACGGTGCGTTTTTTCTGGGTGAAGTCTGCGTGCGGGTGGGTTGCCTCCTATTCACTGGAGCCATATTGCCAGAGACGGTAGGCAATGCAGGCAAACCCATTCTCAAGTTTGCATGCACTGCAGTAGAACTACATACGCAGCGCGCAGATTGTCGGAGAGAGACTCACGGTGACTTGGCTGGAGAACTGCACAATGCTGAAGAAGTCGTCGGGGTGCAGCGTGTCCAGGATCCTGGTCATGGCGGCCTGGAGCTGCTTCAGCTTGTGGCCCCACATCGAGCCCGAGGTGTCGAGGACGAAGATGGCGTGCTTGCGCAGCGGCGGCACCTCGGGCGGCGCGAAGAAGTGCACGAAGTAGCCGTCCATGAGCTGTGAGGTGTTGAGTTGTGGTCAACGCGGGTCAAAGGTACTTTTACTCCGTGGTCTGGCTGGCCGACGATCCAGCCAGAAATATTCCCTCTAGAGAACGTGTAGAGTTCGTCAAGGTCTATTCTGCGTCTACGCGGACGTCTAAATGGTACGAAAATAAACCTAGACCAATTTCGGACGTTCTCTAGACGGAGCGCTTCTGGCTGGGGAGGTGGGGCTGGCGGCTAGTGCAACCATGTGCTCACCAGAAGGTCCCCGGACACGGACTTGCTCCTGTCCACGTCGTACGCGACGGTGAGGGCGGCCTGCGGGTGCGCGGTCTGCAGCGCCAGGTGCGCGTTGCGCAGCTGCGGGGCGCCGCCCGCCGGCTGCCACAGCTGCAGCTGCTGCTCCCGGTTGGCCGTCAGCTGGATGTGCGCCATGTTGGCCGCGCCCCGACGCACCACCAGCGGCCCGGAGGAGTAGTTCTGGAGTCCTAACGGAACCCGGGAAAGAAGAGATGCCGCCGTTAATGACTAGACACTTATTGTGGAGACAGTCCCCGCGACCCCCGCACTGCGAGAAATCTTTCGTTGGAGCCATCAACATTTTGATGCTCACTATCAATTTTTTTTTTCGATCCGCCCGGCTTAGTCATAGGCATCAACATTTTGATTGCTGTTACCATAATTTTGGTTGTCGTAACTAAATGTTCATTTCCTGTGATTAAAAATTTGATGCCCCTAACTAATCTGACTGATCGAACAGTTTTTGATGGCTGTAACAAATAATTTCCCTCAGTGCGGGCCTCAGCGCCCCGCGCCCGCACCTTGCTGCGCGATGTCTCTCTCGTCCACGGAGTACAGCGGCTTGCCCGCCGCGCAGACCTGCAGGCTGCTGAGGTTCCGCGACTCCAGGATGAACACGTCCACCCGCACGTCGTTCACCTCCTGCAACAGACAAGGTGTTCAATTTTACAGTCAGGACAAGTAGTGTTGCCCTGACAGGCTAACAGACTGAATTCTTTTCTTTTCCGCTTTTAAACGGCGATCTTCATGAGAACAGAGAACAGACACATAAATCGGATAGTGCTTCGTACGGGATCATCCAGCCAGAGAGTACGCCAGTACGCCCTTCATTCGACGTTACGAAACCAAAGAAACTACCAAGTTCAGCCTGTGAAAGCTCTTATAGCGCCTGATCGGTAGGCAACATCTTGCACGCGGTACATGCGTGCACTGCAGGTTAGCCTACCTTGAGGCTCGCAGGCGCCCGGCCACCGCATTTTGTTAAATGAATCTGAGAAAAATGGACGTACTCTCTGGTTGATCCCTAATTAGCACTTTGGCAGTTACATACTTAACCGTGTGCAAACATGCGAGAGGACGCCTCACGGATGCGCTGGTAAAGACAACCCGCCCCGCCCGCACACTGTAACTACTGCGAATGCGGACGGGGTGAATCAGCCTGGTGGCACAGCTCAACTTATTGCCAAACGAACCATATTGTTACAAGGTAAAAACAATGTCTCATTTTTGTGGAAAAAGGGAAAACTTTGAGGAAATCCCTTGGTTTGAAGAAAGCCTCTCAGATTTCGAGGAGGTCTCCTCAAAAAATGTGTGATTTTTCCACAGTTTTTGAGGAGGTTTCTCAAAATCTGAGGTGAGATCCGAGGAGTTTTCCTCAAATATGGAAGCAGGTCCTCAAAGTTTTCCCTTTTTCCTCAAAAAATGATACATTGGTTTTTACCGTCTAAACCTATGACTTTCTTTCAATTGAATTCCAGCCTCGTCCCTTTCCTAGACGACGACGCCGGCTCCACTCGCCGCGCCGCGGCTGGACGCGCCCGGCCGCGCCGTGCGGGCAGGCAGCCCCTCTAACGCCACGCTATGCTGCGCTACGCACCTGTCCTGGGTCAATGCCGAGCGCGTGGTGGTAGCGGCCGCGGCGCCGGCCCAGCAGCTCCTCGTACGTGAGGTTGACGGTGAGCGCGGAGCGCGCCGCCACCGTCACCGCCAGCGACATGACGCTGCTGTCGCGCGCGCTGCTCTGCCGGACCTGCGCCGCCGTCTGGCCGCTCAGGGCGGCCTGCTGGTACTCGCCGTCCGCCCTGCGCCGCTCGCGGACGTACGCCTTGTACGCCTTGCCGTCGCTCTCGCTGCGGACAGAAAGACGGCACGAGTCAGGAGACTGACTGACGAGAACACGGCCTCCAATTACCGTGGCGGAGGGCGCTCTTGCTGTTGTCCGAGGGGGCAGCAACTCCGGGAATCATGTGTACACCTGCCTGGGAATCACCACACGATAAAAATTCATCGAAGTCAACAGAAATCGCCGAAACTGAGCGGGGAACTAGAGGAACCGGTACAAATTAGTCGATATAAGCGTCTCCTACCACTAGAAAGCCTAAGGATTAAACATAAGCGAACGGGAATCACTGGGAATCAAGCATTTCGGGACGGGAACCATGTGTACACATCAAAGGGGAGTTATTGCCCCCTCACTGGTGTCCGAGAGCAGGGTACACATGGGGGAATCCGCGAAATGCGTGTCAATTCAGGGGTAATTCAATGTAATCCAGGTTATCTCCAGGGTTGCTCCAGGGGCGATCCGCTTCGCGTAACCTAGGTCAATCCGTCGTACACCAGATCTCAGAGTCGTTTACCACTGGGCTCCGTATGCTCAATGCAGATGCAGCCAGATTGGCAGGTCTGGCGACTCAGCAGACCTGCCACTCATTAACGACACAAACATGGAGGGACCTAAATAGGAGACAATGTAACGACGCGAGGCTGTCCACGAAGTGCTGTTGGTGCGGGCTTCGTCGTGCTGGAAAAAAATTTCGACAAATACTCCCATAATATCCCCATACTCACATTGACATCCCCGTGACGTAGCCGGTGTCGGGTAGCGTGAGCCGCAGCTGCACCTCCTGCGCGCGGCTCGCCGGGTTGTGCAGCGCGGCTCGCACCAGGGTGTGGCTGAAGCGCAGCTGCACCTCGGAGCGCACCCTCAGCCACTGCACGGACACGGGCTCCAGCGGCTCCTGCGGCTGAGGCGCCTCCGGCTGCAACAGGAGGATGGGGTGAGCTGGGCTCGACTACAACAGGTGGCGTTGGCGGATGGGCGTGCTGGGGTGTTGTGAGTACACGCTCGGGCCACAAGGTGCGTCGTCTTGTCGTGGTGCCTGCCTCAGGCATCGTCCAGAAAGTACGTGCGTCCGTTCTTCTCAGAGTCATTTTGACAGATTGCGGGAGCCCGGCGCCTGCGAGACTCGGGGTAGGCCACCCTGCGGTGCACGCATGCACTGTATGCAAGATGTTGCCTACCGACCAGGCGCTATGACAGAGCTTGTGGCTGAACTTATTGGTCGTTTCGTTACGTCGAATGACGGACATACTTCCTGGGTGATATCTTACGGGCGGAGGGAGTAGGCAAACCCAGCGCACGCAGAGAAACACCCGTGGTGCACCTGCTTGCGATGTTTCCGAACTCTCGTCGCAGGGGACGGGTGCGTTGTAAAGTGGAATTATAAAATGTATGTGAGCCAGGGTAAACCTCAGGATGGATGACTCGCATCATATGCATCGGGTGGGGGGAG